CGTGGCCTCTGTCCCCTGCCAGCATCATCACTAGGGCTTGGGGATGTTTGTGTGGCTGAAGGTGTCTGTGGTGGGTGAGGCTTGAGGTGTGAGGCTCTGTGAGGGTACAGGGACATGCTGGTTTTCCATGTGGATCGATGAAGCACCCATGGGTGCTGAGTGGGAGCAGTGCCCTGGGTGTGGAAAGGCACTGGTGGATACTCTCTCTATCTCCACTTTAGGGGAATGGCAGCAGAGCTCTCCCCCAGCGTGGTGGGTCACCACTCTGTGCATCCCCACTTTGTCCTCCTCTGTATAATCCCTCCTTGAGGGTATGAAGGAGTTGGAATCAGCCCTGGAGTGACTTAGCTGTGGTGGTCCCAGCAGCAGGAGCTGGCAGCTCTCCAGCAGTGCCTGGGAATCAGCTTCTTGCAGGAATCATCCCTGAGCCCAGTGGTACCATCCAGTGGTCACTGCTGTCCCCATGGGGAGCCAGAGGATTGTCCATCTTCCTTGTCTTCCTTGGGGCACATAGGGACCCTGTGGATTGTCTGGCTCTGCAGTGGCAATGGGAAACATCCTGTGGCTGGTTTGGCTTTGCAGCTGGGGCCGCTCAGGTCACCCCTGAGGTCCTCACACGGGTGGTGGCCAGGCCAGGTGTCCTGGCATCCAACCATGGGTGCCCTCAGCTCCCACAGCCTGTCCTGGAGAGGAGGAGGTGGATTTTAACCACTGATGAGGGTGTTTTGTAGGAACATCCCCAAGGTGCTGCCAGCACTGAATCTGTTGGTGTGGGCAGCTCCAGTGTGGTATGTCTTGGAGTTGCTGGAGCAGGGAGGACACCTCTGGGAGCGGAAAGGTGAGGGTTTGGTTCATGGTGCCTTCTGGCCAAGAGAGGAGCAAGGAGCAAATTGCCACCAGGAGTTTTCACTTGGAAGGAAAGAGATTTCACCATAAATGCGATCTAAGGAAAATCCATTTTGCTGGCACAGCATTCCTGGTAAGGGAAGATTAAAGCTCATCCATGGGGATGTTTTCCTTAAACCATGGATGCAGATGAACACCCTGAATCACTGAAGTAGCTCCTGCCAGGGACATGGTGCAGTGCCATGAGCCAGAACTAGTGCTGTCCACAGTGTGGGTTGGGAAGGAGCTGGTGGGAGCAGCATCTAAGGGAATGTCATGGGTCCTGCAGACCTGGAGAAAACTGGAATTTGTTGCTCCCTGACAACTCTGAGGAGCCGTAAACCATTTCTATGGGATGTGGGGAAGGACTAAACTCTTCATATGCTCCTGTACAGTTCATCCTGTAGCAAGCTGGACCTTCCCATGTTGCAGGAGCTGTTGGGAGTGGGTTTATCACCCAAGACCCCTTTGCTGGTAGGTGTTGGACCCATGGGCAATGACAGTGTCACTAGCACCAGGGGTATGGCACTGCCTTGAATAAATAACAGGTTAATCCATGTCTGGGTAAGCCTGGGCAAAACACGACTCAGCTTTGCTTCCTCCCTGTGGGGGTTGGGGCTGAGCTGTGGGGAGGGTCCTGGAGTGGGGGTGGGTTTTCTGGGCTGATCTGCTGAAGGAAATGCACTCTGTGTTTTGTTGTAGTGTTTCTGGAGTGCTTTGGGACAATTGACTTTCTAAAATAGGCTCAATGAGAGGAAATTCATTTGTTAACCTGTCCCTGAGCAGGGCTGGGAAGGCGAGGAGCAGATATGGTGCTTCCTTGGCGGCTTATTTACCATCACATCTGCCTTGGGACAACCCAAACCCATCAATTACCGCTTGTATTTTGTGTCCCCCACCCCCTCCTCTGTTCTACAGGATTTAAATGGGCAGAAAGAGCTGTGCCCACGTCTCTGCCACCTAAAGAAAGGCCCCAATGGCTATGGCTTCAACCTGCACAGTGAGAAGTCTCGGCCAGGACAGTTCATCCGCTCGGTGGACCCTGACTCTCCTGCTTCCCGTGCTGGGCTGCGGCCCCAGGACAGGCTGGTGGAGGTACTGGGGGCCCACAGGGCTGGGAGGAGGGACAGCAGCACTGATGGGACCTTCAGGAAGCTAGAACAACCCCCATCTCATGACCTTTTCCATCAGAGTATTCTCTGCAATCCAGAGCCATAAGGCTGATGGGAATGCTCTGGCTTTGCCTTTCTGCTCCTTCCACTCAAGTGGGCACTTGTGAGTACTGAAGTCTAAATAGAATCAAAAGATAGAATCATAGAGTAGAATCTTGGAATTGTTTAGGCTGGAAAAGCCCTCTAAGAGCATCAAATCCGATTATTATCCCAGCACTGCCAAGGCCACCACTAACCCACGTCCCCAGGATGCTGTGCAGGCCCCTGCTGGCACAGAGGAGGTTTTGAGCAGGTAACTGTGGGTGTAGGGCCTGGCTGGTGCCACTCAGCTGAGTTGATTCTCTGCCAAGGAGGAAAAAGAGGGGGAAAAGCTTTGCAGAGATTTTAAGACACAAGGTTATGAAAAATGAGGGGGAACACTGCTCTTGGAAGCATCTTCCTAGTCACTGAGTGCTGGACAACACTTTGTAGCCAGGGTGGGGCCAAAAACTTTGGATGGGGCTGGGAATTGTCCTCCCTTTGCCTTGTGTTTTTCCTGAAGAGAGATGTTAGGAAGAAGTTTTACCTCTGAGGGTGGTGAGACACTGGCACAGGTTGGCTACCCCATCCCTGGCAGTGTTCACAGCCAGGTTGGCTAAAGCCTTGAGCAACCTGCTCTGGTGGGAGGTGTCCCTGCTCAGGGCAGGGGGTTGGGGCTGGATGATCTCTAAGCTCCATTCCAACCCCTCAGCATTTATTCCCTGAGTGCTGGGAGCAGCGTGGGGCTGGGAGCAGGGCAGTGGTGGCAGCAGCTCTGTGTCACGGCCAGGGGCTCTGTTATTTATTCATAGGGCTTGGCCCAGGGCCTGGCACACACAAAGCAGCACGGGGTGAGCTGGAGAGCTCAGAAACCTGATCCCCTCCCTCACTGCTCTTTGGGCCTTGGATAAATATTTGATGCCCCCAAGCCCTGTGCCAGGGTGGGGGGAGAGCAGCTCTGTGCCACCCAGCCCAGCTCAACCAGGGCTGGGCACTGGGCATGGAGCAGGGTGACCTAGAGTGGCAGGATAGTGGTACTGGGGATGGAGAAGAGTGGCAGCATAGTGGTGCCAGGGGTGGAGCAAGGTGACCTGGAGTGGCAGAAGGTGTCTCCAGGGATGGAGCTGGAGCCTAGGATGCAGTGGAGAGGTGGATGAGGATGGGAATGGGGCCAGGGATGCACTGGGAAGGTGTTTGGGAATGGAGCTGGGGCCTGCCCCTGGCAGGGGGCTGTTGCTGGGAATGGAGCAAGGTGATCTGGAGTGGCAGGAGAGTGGTGTGGGACATAGAGCAGGGTTAGATCCTGCTGCTGAGGTTGGCAGCACCTGGAGTGAGGTGCAAAGCCTGGGAAGGGAGTTCCTTTTCATCCCAGCCCTTGCAGTTGTGTCCTGAGAACCAGGGGGAGCAGGGAACCCAAAGGTTGGAGCTGCCCCAGCTCAGGCTCTGCAGAGTCCTGTCATGTCCCTTTGCATCAAGAATGAACAGTGGGTCTTGCTGAGGCTGTCAGGGTCCCGGGGCGGAGCAGAGCCTTTCCAGCAGGACAAAGACCGATTCATTCCCAGTGAACAATGTCCCTGCCCCAGCATTGTCCCCTCGCTGCAGGGAATAATCAGGAGCAGAGGATCACGTTCCCTGCAGATCCTGGCTCGCAGGAAGGGAGAGGAGGGATGAATCCCCGTGGCAAGCACAGAGGCTTGTCCAGCAGGGCTGAGAAATCTGTGCATTTCCATCAGAGACGGGTGAAGGATAGCATGGTGGTGCCACAGGACACACTGGTGGCACTGAGCCTGTGCTTGGTTGCACCCCACAAACAGCCTGAGATTCCTGGGGCACATCCAAGGGCAAGGCTGGGGCTGACATCACTAAAGAGGCCAGGGAGAGGGTTTTGGTGGGACGTGTGTGGGTGAGGTGATGGTGGAGCCTGAGGTGTGTGATTCTCAATGATGAGGTGGGATGTGAGCAGTAACGCAGAGGGTGTCTCTGGCAGTGGCATTCAAGGGCGTTTAGGAGATGGCTTGAGAGGAGAAGGAAAAAGTCTAGAGCCTTCCTATTGTTCCAGTGGACATTAAAAAAGGAAAATCCCATCCCTTACGGAAAGAGAAGGCTGCTCTGGGGGATGGAGAGCAGGAACAATGTGCTGTGGGGGACACAGCTGTGGGTTCTGATGCTGTGGTTTTGCAGGTGAACGGCATAAATGTGGAGGGGCTGCGGCACTCCGAGGTGGTGTCCCACATCAAGGCCAGGGACAGCGAGGCCAGGCTGCTGGTGGTGGACCCTGAGACAGATGAGTACTTCAAGAAGCTGGGGGTGACCCCCACAGAGGAGCACACCAAAGGTGAGAGCTGTCCTGCCCAGGGTGACCCTGCACTGTTCGCATGACTCACCCAGCCATGGGTGGGATTTCAGGAGTGAGGGAGAGTCATGTTTCCCTCCTGTCTCATCCCTCAGTAGTTTCCTGAGCACCACCCAGCTATTTATAAATTGTGAGAATACACCCTAACCTAGCCTAAAAACACTTGGTTATTTTTACATGGTGAATAATCACCTTAGGAACTCACTGCTGTGATGTGACTGAGGCAGAGCGTAGTGGGATTTGGGGGAGGCTTTCCAGGATGGCTTGGATGGGACTTGGAGCAATGTGGTCTAGTGGAAGGTGTCCCATGGGAGGGGTTGGAGTGAGATGAGCTTTATGCTCCCTTCCAACACAAACGATTCCAGGATTCTATATGATTCCTAAACCCTAAGCCATATCTTCCAGCACCAGGCCCATATACCTCTTAAACACTTCCAGGGATAGAGCTTCTCTGGGCAACCTGTGCCACTGCCTCATTACCCTCACAGGGAAGGGAATCATCAAATCCTCAGGGTTGGAGGACACCTCTCAGATCATCAGGTCCAAGCATTAACCTGTCACTGCTGTAACCCTGAAACCCTAACTCGTATCCTCCAGCACTAGATCCAGACGCCTTTAAAGGCCTCCAGGGATGGTGACTCCACCACCTCCCTGGGCAATATTCTAGCGCCTGAATACCTGACACAGAAAACATTTTTCTTAACATCCAGTCTGCCTCTCCCCCATCTCAGCTCAGGGCCGTTCCCTTTAGTCCTCTCCCTGGGGCAGGAGAAGATCATCCCCTACCTTTGCTCCAGTGAAGGAACTCCCTGGAGAACTGCAGGGTGAGACCAGAGAGAAGGGTTTCATGCCAGGTGATCACAGTGTGCTGCTGCAGGAAGTGTTTTCCTTGCCTGCAGAAACCTGGCAGAGAAAGCTGCCTGTCCACTCCCCACCCTGCCATCCTGCTGCTCCCGGCTGAGCAGGGAGCTGTGTTTCCCAGGACAGCTGTGCCTTATCTGATGTGCACTGTGGCTCCCTGGGGTGCTCAATGGGCAGATTTGTCCCAGAAGTGGGTCAGACAGTGCTGGGAGCCACGGGGTGAGCAGTGTCAGAGTGCTATCAGATGCTTTGTGGCCGTTCGAGGAGGAGCTGGGACCGGCGCTGTCTGCTGGCACCAGCCAGAAAGGAGCCCTTGTTCCCAGGGTGGGGATGGGGCCAGGGATGCACTGGGGAGGTGAGTGAGGATGGGGCCAGGGATGCACAGCGGAGGGAGGTGTGGGTACTCCAGCCCCCTCTTGGCCCTGCTGCTCTCCCTTCTGTCTCAGTGCACTGGTCAGACACAAGGGATTGGCTCTGCCTGGCTGCTGGTGCCACCTGTGTTGGTAACAAAATGCTCTGGTGGATTCTGTTGTTTGCAGCATAAGTGGAAATATATGTATATTATATGTAAAACCCATATATAGACATATATAATATATAATACATTACGTATCATATTATATAGATATATACCTATGATATATGATATATATTAAATAATATATTAAGGAGATTAAAAAGTATTTTTAGACATGCCCAATTCTGAAATCACTTTTTTGCTGGAACTCCACTTTATTATTCTTTACAATTTGCAGCTTGTTCTCATTTAAATAACTTAAATGTAGCTTCTTATGAAACCAGAGGCTTTAGCATCACTTCTTCTCTGACTCCCCTGATGCCCATGTTCAGAGCTTCTCATACCCTAAATCAAGTCCAGCATTCAGTGCAATAAAATATTGAAGGATCTCAACAACACAGCTGAGCTTTTGCACCAGCACAGGCTCTAAATGATGATTTGGGATTATTTTCCTAACCTCTGCTCTGCCCCAGGAGTTCCTGCAGTGCTGCAGCCCTGAAATCACTCCCTAGGGAATCATTGATGCTCCACATAATTCAGTTATTAATCCTGCCACAATTAGCACCTCTGTTATCCTATGCCAGATGGGACATGGGGATGCCTGTGACGATGACTTGGTGGTGACTGGCAGCTTAATGCATCAAGTTTGCCTTTGTGTGGGATATTATTAGTGGAAATCATTGGAAGTGAGCAGAAAAAATCGCAGGGTGCCTAGGAGGGGTCACACACTGCTGTGGCACCACCAAGATGCTGATTTTGGTGAAGAATTTTGGGTTGGGTTTTAAGATTTTTGATTAAATAAGTTCTGAAGGCAAATTAGTTAATGGTCAGAAAATGGAGTGTGCTGAAGTTGGTGCTGGTAGGAGGTTACTTAGTTCCTGGAAGGTGTTTTCCCCTGATGAAATCAGGGTGAAATGGAGTAAATGCAGGGGAATTGGCAAGGATGTGGTTCTGGAAGGGCACAGGGAGCATGGAGAGGCTTCTGTGTGGACTGGGAAGCAGCTCAGGGCAGAGTGAAGAGCCAGGATGAGCTGGTGGGCTGGGCAGGGGAGGAGGCAGGTGTGGGGTGGCAGGTAGGTGATGCTGAGGGATGCTTTCCTGGCAGCTGAGGCCAGAAATCCCAGCTGAGGGTACTCACTCTGTGTTTTCTTTGTGTGGTTCCAGGTGTGGTACCTCAGCCCATGACAAATGGATCTGCACAGACTCAGGTGAGGCCTCACCTGCTGCAGGATGCCCCTGTGGATGGATGGGGTGGCTGGGAGGAGCTCAGCTTGGGGGAGTGTGTTGGAGGGATCAGGGCTCTTTCCTTGGCTCCCATCTGTTCAGGTGAGCCTGGTAGGATGACTCTCCAGCCTGCAGAGCAGAGGGGGATGCTTAAAACATCTCCAAGGTTCATTCAGCTTTATGCTGCTGACAGTTTTAATTGCTCCCTGCTACAGCTTTGATTTAGGAGTTGAACAAGGCTGGTTGCAGCCTCATTTAACCCAAGTGACAGAGGAGGAGGTGAGTGACATCCCAGTGCTGGCGAGATGGGGACCATGCTCTGTTTGGTGTGGGAGAGCAGCAGGTCTGTTGGGAATTCCCAGGGAGCTCCTGAGTGTGTGCTGGGTCCCTGCAGCAGGACCTTCCTCACCAGGCTCCATTCCCATCCCTGGAGGAGCCTGCCAGGGGTGGTGGTGGCAGGTGGTGGTCTCCCACCCTGGCAGGGTTGTTGGGTGTCCATCCCCACCAGGCTGGAGGGTTTTTCCACCGATTCTGCCTTGGCACAAACCAGACTAACATTTCCTTCCCTCCAGCTGAATGGAGGATCAACATCTTCATCTCACAGCGACTTGCAGAGTCCTGGGAAAGAATCAGAGGTACAACCCCAAACATTTCCCTTCCCTTTTACCCCCAGGTGTAGCTACAAACTTGCCTTATGTGCTGTGTATCCATGTGTTTTCAGTTTGTCTCACAGACTTGCGTTCACTTATATCCACCCAGCAAGCAAAATGCAGAGTTTTATCTCATTCTTGCCCTGTGGATGTGTGTGGAATGGAGCTGTGAGCTGTCAGCAGTGGCTTATTCCACTGTGGAGGTGGCAATGCTGCCGGGGTGGGTGGATGGATGGATAGATAAGTCCTTCAGGATGGATAGATAACTCCTTGAGGTGGCTGGTTGAGGGCTCAGATTTGGAAAGGTGTGGGTGTGTGTTTTGTCCTGGCTCTAGGAAGAGTCATGTCCTTGTCCCTTGGGGCATTGTGACCTCGGGGAGGAGGCAGTACTGCCCCAAACCGAGCAGAGAACACCCAGCTCTTTGTGGGCAGTGACTCGTGCTGGAATGGTTTGGAAGGAGGTGTGAGATGAAAGGATGTCTGCAGGACTTTGAAATCACTGAGGAGCTGTAGGGCAGGAGGTGAGGCTGGGGGGGAGTGGAGCTATGAGGTTCAAGTGCTGCCACCTGGACCAAAGCAGGCTAAAGTGTTAAAAAGCCAAATTGCTTTTAGTTTGGAACACAGGGAGTTAATCACAGTGTTTAAAGGAGTTGCTCAAGGTGGGAGGGGTGTGGATTTGGTGACGGCAGGGCTGGGAGACTTCTCTGGTGGAGCCTGGCTCAATGCCAGAGTGAAGGAGCAACCAAAAGTCAACACAAGGCATAGATTCTCGAGTGTTATATATTTAGCAGCGTTTTAATTAAAATAAGTGGGGGATTTCTAAAGTGCTCAAAAATTACTTAAAAATAGAGGAATGTCTTTATGCAGATTCTCTGCTGTCCAGGATGTTTGGGACAGGAATCTGATGGCATCAAGTGCTCACAGAGCCTCTCTGGGCAGCGTCTCGGCCACCAGCTGTGTCCGAGCTGTGGCCAAACGCCTGCAGTCTGCCTTCTCCATTTCTCTCTGGGCTTTAAATAATGCATGCCCTGCTCCAGTGGCTGCTACCTTTGGAAAACCAGGTTGTGTCCTGCTGGGGAGCACAACGATTCCTCCCATGGAGTCACCATTGGGCTGGTTCAGGGCTCCCTGTCCCACTTCTGCGTGAGAAACCAGAGGCGCAGGGCATGGTGAGGGGCTTGCCTGGGCTCTGCCATCCAACTCATGCCACAGTGTGCTCATTTGATCCACACCCCAGGGCAGTTTTGGGCCAGTTTAGGTCCTTTTGGGCCTGTTTGCTTTCCTTAAGCCACAGCAAAGCTGGAGCTGTTGTCTCCCAGCGCTGGTGGAAGGATCTGTCCATGGTTATCAGTAGGGTCTGTGCAGTCACTGATTTGGGTCTGGGCACATATGGTGGGGCAGAGTGTGAGCAGGAAAGCCTTAAAGTGTTTTCTTAAAGCTGCAGGTCTCCATTTAGTGTGTTTGCCCACCCCTGCCATGGGTGCATCCTCCTCCCCAGTCCCAGCTCCCTGGACTCGGCCACCTTGCCTGGCTCCAGAGCTGCACTGGCACAGCCTCAGTGCAGGTGTGATCAGTGAAGCAGAAGCTTTAGATTGTGTCTGTGATGGAGCAAACTGCCCCCTGAAACCTGAGCCATGTGGGGATGCTGCTCTGGGTGACATACAATCATCGAGGTTGGAGGAGACCTCTTAAGACCATGAAGTCCAACTCTTCACCTCTCACTGCTGTGAACCATAAACCATATCCTCCAGTGTCAGATCCAGACACCTCTTAAACACTTCCAGGGCTGGTGACTCCACCACCTCCCTGGGCAATATTCCAGTGCCTGAACACCCTAACAATGAAATAATTTCTCCTAACATCTCTGACTCTGCCCTGTCTCAGCTCAGGCCATTCCCTCTAGTCCTCTCCCTGCAGCCATGGCAGGAGAGACATCCCACACCTCTCTCCAACCCCTGTCAGGGAGTCACAGAGAGCCATGAGGTCACCCCTGAGCCTCTTCTCCAGGCTAACCAAGCCCAACTCCCTCAGCCCTTCCCCATGTGCTCCAGCCCTTTCCTGCCCTCACTGTCCTTGGCTGGACTCACTCCAGTGCCTCAATGGCCTTTTTGCAGCAAGTGCCCAAAGCTGAGCACAGCACTGAGCTAGGACCTCCCCAGTGGTCACTGCCCTAGTCCTGCTGCCACACTGCTCTTGAGCCAGGCCAAGATGCCCTTGGCCTTCTTGGCCACCTGTGCACACTGTTGGCTCACACTGATCTGCTGCCACCAGCACTGCCAAGGCCCTTTCTGTCCAACAGCTCTCTCCCCACTCCTCCCCCAGCCTGGAGCTGCATGAGGCTGTTGTGTCCCAAGTGCAGGACCAGCACGGAGCCTTATTGACCCTCATGCCCATTGATGAGTCAGTCCAGGTCTCTCTGTAGAGCTTTCCTACCCTCAGGCAGATCCAGTCCCACTCAACTTAGTGTCCTCTGCAAATGTCCCGAAGTTCACTCAACCCCCACATTTAGATCACCAGTGAACTCCCAGTCCCTTTGTGACCGAGACCCTTCTCTCCCTGCCTACGCAGGACGGCGACGCGGAGAAGAAGGACCCGTTCGAGGAGAGCGGGCTGAGCCTGAGCCCCACGGCTGCCGAGGCCAAGGAGAAGGTGCGAGCCAAAAGGGTGAAGAAAAGAGCTCCCCAGATGGACTGGAACAAGAAGAGAGAGATCTTCAGCAATTTCTGAGCCCTGCTGGGGGCTGTGCCCGCCGCCCTCCTCCGCCCAGCTCGGACATTCTGAGGTGCCTACGCCGTGTCCTGCAGTGTCCACGTGAGCTGCTTTGTGCTCTGCTCTTCACTGGTTGCTTTTACAAGGCGTATTTTAAAGTCCTTTTTATTTTTATTTTTTATTATTATTATTATTGTTACTCACCAGCGATTCTCATACAACAAATGTGACCAAAGCTCCTTTCCTTGCTTGCTCCTGAGCCTGGCTCTGCTTGCCCACCGTCCCCTGAGCCTCTGAGGAAGGACTGGAAGAGTTTAACTCTTGTTTCTTGTATCATTTAGACTTTTATTCCTTCTTTTTTTGACTTCGTGTTTGGTTGGTTTTGTGGGTGTCCCAGGCTGAGCCTCATGGGATGCTCTGTGCCCCCGGGATGCCCTGAGCCCCTGTGCGAACATCTAGCCCCATGCTGGGTGCCCACAGGGTGGGGTGGACCTCGCACCCCCTCCCTGCCACCCTGCATCCAGCATTGGCTACTCCCACGATGGGAAAACAGACTGTGGCTGCAGATTGCTCTTGTTGGCTTTGCTGTTGAAGCAAAAACATTTGTTTTATTGGGTTTTGTTGTTTTTCTAATGAAGTCTCATCTGTTTCCAGTTAGTTTAGGAACTTCCCTCCCACCAGCAGCTCCTGCCTGGGCAATAAAGCCACTTTGGCATCCCAAACAGCTCTGCAGAGGGGACAGGGTAGGATTTAAAACCAATCCCCAAACCCTAATGCCACAGCCCTCGTGGATGCTGCAGGGGAAGGCAGGGAGTGGGGCTGGCCCTGTCCTGTAGGGCACAAAGAGGAGAGCCACAAGATGCTACACCCTTTGAACAGACTCGGAAGTGAGGACAACACAGCATCTGCTTCCAGGAGGGAACACAGGGATGCAGCTCTAGCTGTGCACTTGGTGCTGGGAAGTGGTGCTGGGCTGAGGCCCACCTGGGCTGGGATGTGATGTCTCCAGACCATGTGTCTCACTATCAGGAGGGATTTGGTGCCTCCAGGCTGTGTCTCACCATCAGGAGGGATTTGGTGCCTCCAGCCCCTGAGTGTGTCCTGCTATCAGAAGGGTGTCCTCCAAAGCCATGAGGCTGGTGGTGAAGCAGGCAGTGGTATGATGGAGTGGGCAGTTCTTTGGCTTTCTGTGGCCTCCTCCAACTCCTCCTGCTCTTGGCATTTGAACCTCCAACATGTATCTTTAAAGCATTACAGATTAAGCCATTTAAGCTCTTTATTACTTGCCTGTGGCTATGTGAGGGAGGGTGACTCTCACAGGTAGCAGAGGTGTGTTCCAGGGCAGGGACTGGCTGTGATGGGGTTGACCTGCTCCCTCCCACACCCCAGCAGCAATCCCAGCCCAGCAGTGGGAAGGGACTGGGCACAGCAAGACAGGAGTACAACCCACTTCCTGCAGCTGAAAGCAAACAGCAGCAATTACCTGGACTTGATGACTGTTCCAAACCGAGAGCTGTGTCTGTGCCCTGCATCACTCAAGCACTGCTGTGCTAACAGCCCATGGCCCTTGGGTTAGTCAGTGTGCTACTGGGTGCATTTCCTAAAGTATTCCCAAAATACAGAGCTAAAGGTGCCTTATACCATTCCCTGCTCTCCTCAGCATCAGGTTGGGGCTCAGCGTGGGATGTTTGGCTTCCCCATGGGGAACAGCTGATGCCTGTGGCTCTTAGCTGCTGGCAGGAGGGCATGGAGAGCTTCAGGGGTGAAGGAGATAAGTTCTCTGCATGAAAGTTAGCTGTTAGGCTGAACAGGTTGACAGTGATGACTCTGGAGAGGAACTGATGCAGGTGTTTGGCTGTGGGTGATGCTGATGGGATGTGGAGAGGTTTGCCTCCCCTCGGGGCTCTGCCATTAATAAGACACCTCTTCCCTGTCCCACTTCAAATTACCTGCTCTCTTTTTGGCCCCAAAAAATCTTCTCTCTTCTCACTGGGTAATGTTTGGAAGGAGCCTTTCCTTCTCCAGCAGTGTGCACGTTGCTTCCTGTGCCCTCATGGCCAAACCCTGGCAGGGCAGAGCGTTCCTAGGACACTCTGGTGAGAGCACAGCCCTGTTGTAAATACCCCAGTTCTCATCCAAGACTGCTGTAGCTGAGGTGGGGAGGGAGAAACCAACATTTAGTTTTGACTGCAGATCAAAAGAAGTAAGGTGTGCAAATTGTACTGATAAGACTGAAAATCATCTCTGCTTAGCCCATGGAAACTGCTCCTGGTTGAAGCATTACCTGACATCTTGTAGCTCAGTAGTAATTACTCAGTTCCTGTACATTTAACTTGGAAGAAACCCAAATCAATAAGTATAAGGCTGTCAGCATTGCAAACCATAATGTACACTATAATGTCAGTAATAAACTTGGTTTCCCATGTACCCAGTGCTTATCTGCTCCTTCCTCAGCTGCTGGAAGCAACTGCAGGGTGGAATTGCAGTGCCTTTAGCACACTGTAAACTTTGCTTCCTCCCTTGCCTGTTTAAAGAGGAGCTGAAATGATGCCTTTGAAGCTTGACAATGAAGTCAGCACTGCCCTTTCTTTGAAGAACAGAACACAGGGTGGTGCCGGCCCTTCTGCCACCTCCCGAGGCACACACAGCCTGGCTCACGTGTCAGCTGTAACCCTTGCTGGTGCACACAGAGTGACACTGCCCCATCTCCTGCCTCCCTGCTGTGTCACCTCCGGCTCTTCTGCTGCCAGGACACAAAGACCACTTGTCCAGGCAGTGATCAGCTCTGATCCTGGCTCAGAAAGGCTTCAGTTGCACCTTAGAATCACACAGTCATTCAGGTTGGAAAAGACCTCCAAGACCATCAAGTCCAAGCTGTGACTCATCAACTTGTCAGCTTGACCAGAGCACTGAGTGCCATGTCCAGTTGTTCTTTAACACCTCCAGGGATGGTGACTCTATCACCTCCCTGGGCAGTTTCAGTGCCTGACAGCCCTTTCAATGAAGAAATTCCCCCTGATGTCCAACCTAGACCTCCCCTGGCACAGCCTGAGGCTGTTTCCTCTTGTCAACACCATACCTTGTGGCAGAGCTCCTCACAGGTGAGTGCTGCCTGCTCTGAGCTGGCAGGGCTGGTTGCCATGGCCTCAGCTTTGGTGAGGTCACCCATGCTCTCCTCCCCCTGCCCAGTGTCACACAGACTCCAGCAAACCTCGTGGGTACAAAAAAAACCCCACCACCTTTATTACATGTGTATTTACAAGCAGCAGCAAGTCCTTGAGGACAAAGCATTTCTCTCTGCAGTGACTAACCGTGGCACAGCTGGGCCATGCTCAGGCATTCACAGGCTGTAGCCTCCAGCACTGCTCCAGCAGGAGTGCTGCACTCTCAAAGCCCTTTTTTCCTCTCAGAGCTCAGCTCTTGCCAGCAGCTGCTCCCTCCTGAGCTGTTGAGCTGGCTGCAGCACCCTCCTGCTCCCCTGCAGTCACACAGCCAGCCCCGTGCAAGACCCAGCTTTACCAGGCTCAGCCCCAGCAGCTCTGTGGCTCGAGAGAGGGTAGGAGATCCCTCAGTGTCTCTTGGCAGCTGGGCAAATGTCCTGATTGAGGCACTGGCTGCAGCGAGGATTCACAGGCAGGCAGGTCTGCTGGCCAAAGCCCACCAGGAGCCAGTTTATCTCCCTCCACAGATCCCTGCAGGGAGAGGAGAAACATGAGCATTCCCATCCAGCTGCTTGGAGGGGTAAGAGAACAGCCCATGCTGTTAGCTGGATCCCTTTCCCCTACTGTCTGTTCCTCCTGGCTTCCCCAGGTGCCTGGAGGCAAGTCCCATGCTCCCTCTAAGACAAGCCCTCTCAGCCTATTATGATCTCTGTTAAGAACAGCTCTCCCAACCTATTCTGATCCCTGCTAGGAAGAGCCCTCCCAGCCTTTCCTGATCTCTTAAGAACAGCTTTCCCAGCCTTTCCTGATCCCTTTTCAGAACAGCCCTCCCAGCCTTTCCTGATCGCTTTCAAGAACAGCTCTCCCAACCTTTCCTGATCCCACTGAACTAGAGGGGAGCAGAGCACAGAAGCATCCAGTGCCTGTGCTCATTCTTTTGTGCTGCAGCCTGTGCCAGGTGTGGAGATGTACCTGGACCTGGTGTTTGATACTGAAAATCAAGCATCAGTGAAGGCCTGAATCCAGCCCTGGGCTGATAGTGCTGTGGCCATTGGGCTCAGCAAGGTCCTGTGTGGAAAAGCATCTGGTTTGGGCCATGGTAAGCTTATAAAGTCAAAAAGCAAGGAGGAAGAACTCCAGCTGCACTAGTGTGGATGGATACATCTGACTGCTGAGGTGCTGCTGCTGCAGCTCTAAGAAAGGAAAAGCACCTGCAACTAGTCTCCTGGAACGAGGAGGGGCCCAAAATGCAGCCAGGGAAGATGCTGGAAGCAGGTTTGTGTGCAGACAGCTCCTGCAGCCAGCCTGGGGCTCAGGCCTCACCTGGGCAGCCAGTCCTCCAGTGCCACTCGAGTCTCCTCGGGGTACTTGGTCTCCTCCTTCACCCACTTCAGTCTGTTGGTGATCCTGTGCACATGGGTGTCCACAGCTAGGGAGGGAGAGCCCAGAGTTTAGGTGGGGGCAGACACACCTGAGCAGAGAGCAGACCCAAGAGCTGCCTGTTACAGCCCGCAGGGACAGAGCCCTGCAAGACAGGGACAGGAGGGGAAGGAAAAGGGAGAGAGGAAAGGAGGCTCAGTCAGAGAACCGATGTGCTGTTTTCTTCCCAGGCCCAGAGCCAAAGGCAGGACAGGGTGGAATATCTCTCCCCACACTCACACAATCTAAACCAGCCTCCCTTCAAAGCTTCTCCTGCTCTGCGGGGACAGGGTAGCCGGTCCCCATTCCCTTCCTCCCTATGTCCTCCCCCTCCTCTTCCCTGTGCATCATGTTATGCAAATTGCATTCTCTGCCCCTTGGTTTACCCAGATGGAAAACACATTTCATAATAGCCACTAGTACCAGAGGGTTTCAGAGGCTTAAAGCAGTATTTATAAAGTGCTTTGAGCTGAAAAGCTCTGAATGCAAAGTGTATTATTGTTAGATCAGCAGTGATAAACCTGTCTCAGGGGCTAATTGGGCAAAGCCCAGGAAACTGCTGTAAACAGGAAGCCTAAGCTTTGCCTCCTAAATCAAAACTCAGCACACAATTATTTGGAAAACACTTGGCTCGTTTGGCTGCCTCTGCACTTCCCTCCCCTGCAGCAGGGAGCAAACAGCCCCCAGGGGCTGCCCACTGTAGTGCAAGGGCCATGGTTTATCCAGCTGATGGTCAGGGCCAGCTCCTGGGCAAATCCACCTGAGAAAAACACTCCCTAACCTACCTATCCCAGACACACTGTCCCAGGCAATGTTCATGGCCAAGTGGGCCATTTTAGGCCCAACTCCTGGCAGCTGCACCAGCTCCTCCACAGTGCTCGGGATGTCACCACCATACTTCTGCTTCAGGATGGCTGTTGTCTGCTTGATGTACTTCACCTTGTTCTGCAAAATCAAGGGCAAAGGCACAAAATCCAAGTTGGTCTCTAATGCAGGTAAAGAGACAAACAGCCCAAAACCCAAACCATTCCTGAGTGTGTGTTAGAGGTGAGGTCACACATAGAATCACAGAATTTTAGGGGTTGGAATGGAGCTTAGACATCACCCAGCCCCGCCCCCCTGCCCTGGGCAGGGACACCTCCCACCAGAGCAGGTTGCTCAAGGCTTTAGCCAACCTGGCTGTGAACACTGCCAGGGTTGGGGCAGTCACAGCCTCCCTGGGGAACCTGGGCCAGTGTCTCACCACCCCCAGAGGAAAAACTTCTGCCGAATATCTAACAAATCTCTCTCTTGCAATTTGTACTCATTGCCCCTTGTCCTGTCACTGCAGCTCCCAACAAACATGGGATTCGCTGAGGGGAGACACAGCTTTCATTCTCCTGCAAGCAAAATACTGCTAAGTCCAACCTCCCTGCACATTCCAGGCCCTGCAGCCAACAATCTCATCTTGATGGGAATATACAGTGCTCAAACGGGTGTAAAACCCACCCTTCAGCCTGCCCCGAGGGTAAGATCACCACGGGGAAGGGCACAGAGGCTGACTCTCAGCCAAGAGGGTTCTTCTGTGCGCACATGGTGATCCCACACTGATGTACTTGCCTTCCTTAAGTGGATGAGGGTCATCACACACACTCACCCTCCAGAATCCCACAGGATAGATGATCTGCCCCAGTGTGGCCTCATCCATCTGCAGCACGGTGTCCACAGTGAGGCCTCTCTGCTGCAGGCGCCGCATGGCAGCACATGTCACCTGGTCCTTGGTCTGGCTTGATAACATCAGCGACAGCAGCACCTGGTAACGCATCACCTGGCGGAGGAGGAGGCACTGAGACACCCTGAGAGCTCCAGGAGGGTCCAACCACCTCCTGGCCTCAGTTCTGCCATCCAGCACCATCTTCAGGCAAGGGCAGGATGAGGATCTACCCTGGTTTGAGTGTTATCAGCCTACGGGAGGCTGCAACAGCAATAATCCATGCGGCTTTTAATCCATGAAGGTTTTTCATTCCAGCACACAATAAGCGGAGAAAAGGAACACGTTCAATCAAGGGCAGACAGCAGCTCTGTCTGCTGGGAGCTCCCAGCCAAAGGCCACAAAGGGCCAGACCAAGCCTTTCCTGAGGATAGGATTCCCAGGGGACCCCACAGGATGCCCAAGTACAAACGCCCAGTGGCTTTTCATGCAACTTCTGCTCTAAGAAGCTTTGAAAATCACATCCCTTTCCCACCAGGCTTCATCAGGAACTGGGTACGTGGCTCCAGTGGGCTCCTTATGGAACCAAATGTGAAGAACTGGGATGACAGATACTGGGAGACATGGACAAATGCCAGAAGTGCCTCTGCTGCTGCCACACAGGGTTTAACCAGAACATTCTTCCCCTCTTGTCAAATTATTGTCCCCCAGATGTGATTCTGTCTCAGCAGAATGAGGAGGATGATGCAACTAACCCAGACTGATCCAAGATAACACAGGCCACAATCCTTCCTCCAGCTCTCTTCCAAAACCACAGGTGCACCAGGAAAAATCACTGAGCAGGATAATCTCAGACCACAAGGAAATGGTGTGAGGAGCTGAAGGGTACAACATCCACTTTTTTTTTTTTTTTTGGAAGCAACAACCCCGTTTCCCTACGGAAGAGAAGCTATTGCCATGTGGTGCAGGGTGGCTCCTTTGGCCCCAAAGCTGCCAATCCACACAGCTGTGGAGCATGAGGCTGTCCCAATCCGGGGTCAAAGCTCATCTCCCCAGGGATCCAAGCCCAGGGCGTGATGCCAGCAGCAAGGACAGCATTCCATGTGCTGAGGCTGTGCAGCTGTGCGTTCCAATCCCTCCCTCAGAGCCCAGTGACTCCCACTGCTCCTGCAAACTGCCCATGGGTGATCTCCATGATCCCACTCAAATGACTCCTGCTGCTCCTTTGAGCCTTCCCACAGGTGATTCCCACATTCCCACTCTAGCACTGAGCATGGAGCACCCAGCCCTGCAGTCCTGCATCCCACCATGGCTTTGTTGTTTGTACTGATGCCAATGGTCCCCTCAGAAGGCAGGAGGTGACATGTGTGGCCTCTGACTGTGTTCCCAGGCTTGGGAATCCCAGTGCTATCCCAGCATGGCCCGTCCTTCCAACTAGTATCCCTTAAAGCGGACTGTGAGAGAGGAGGAGAACACTATGCTCATGTGCTGCTGCAAGGGGCATTAAAGCAGCCTGGAAAGTTGTTTCTCAGCTCCTTTGCCTTTTTTCCACTCTGTTTTTCCTCTGCCATCTTGCTGGGTATTTTCCTTGGACTCCTACAGAGGTTTTTAAGGGAAAAGGGGACATGTCTTCATGCCCCAGAAGACAGCAATGCCCTCACACCCACACATCTGCAGGGACCTCTTGTGGGGCCAATCCCAGCCCTGGGTCCTGCTCTGCCCTGGATCCACTCTGTTCTGGAGACATCCCAAGTGGGACAGATCCAGGAGCAGATGAGGATGAGGGAGGCTCAGGCTGTATCCCTGCTGGAGCTGGCAGCAGGATGCTGTTACCTGTGGAGGTGCAGTGCTGTCATAGCACTTCTCCACTCCCATCTCATCCACGGGAGCATCTCTGTTCCTCCTCATCTCCCGGATTCGCTGCAGCTGCTCCTGCCAGTCCCTGGGCTCCCAGCGTGGTCTCTGGGGCTCAGCACCATCCTCCTGCCCAGCCTCATAGGCAATGGTGATGCTCTTCCTCCTCCTGCTGCGCCTTGGGACGCTGGGCGTGCCACGGATCTGGCTCACTGCAAGGGATGGGAGAGATTCCAGGTTTGAGGAGAGATGCCTTCGTTTCCCACAGAGCCCAGTGTTGTCCCTGTGTGTCACCAACCTCCTGGGGGAACCTGTCCAGGGCTGAACTTGCTCTCCCCATAGTCCCAACCCAGCAGCAACATCTCACATCCCCCAGCCCTGACCAGAGCCAGCACAGGGCAAGGGAGGGCTGGAAGGGCCTGGGAGACGGGTGACCACAGGTCACACAGTGGGGACCTGTGTCCCAAGCATAGGTGAGGCTGATGAAGGTGCATCCCCGGACAGCCACTGGGTGCTGTCACATCCCAGGCTCCCAAGAGGACGTGACAGGGACATCCAGCCTCTCCCTCACCGTGCCCAGCATAGAATCCTGCCAGCCCTGGGAAGCTCCGATCCACCCTCTCCCATATCCCTGACCTTGCCTCTCCCGTGCCCCCAGTAACCCCAATGCCCCCTCTCCTGCACCCCCAGAAAGCTCTGATGCAGCTCTCACACTGCTGATGCTCTGTCCCCCCAGGATGCTCCGAGCCCTTCCATCCTATTCTCCCGGGTATCCTCAGTCCCCTATTTCCCATACCCCTATCCCCTCCCCGTACCCTCTCTCCCC